CCCACTCGTCCCGATCACACGTGTTGTGGGCGTGCCGCCCGACCAATGAGCTTCACACTGCGGTCGGCGTCGCTGCCGGTGATTGGCAGCGCGATCAGGTCGGCGCTCTGGGTGCAGGCTGCAGGCACACTCCGTGTGCACGTCACACGCAGACACACACACACACTGCTGACACGTCGGCTCGAGCGTCACGCAAGCCGTCACCGACGGACGCGGGTGGGTAAGCCCATCCCCAGTGGGTGTACGTCAAAGCGCACAACACGAACCACGTCCGCAGTGAGCCCCGGTGGGCGCATGTCTCGCCCCAGCCCGGGGGTGGTGTACAGATTAATCAACAACCCACGCCGACTTCACCCCGAGGGTTTGGAGCGCTCACCGGTGAGATGCAATCACCGGACACCGTGGCCGAGTGCGCCGCGGGCACATGCGCACGACGCCTGCTGCTGTCGTAGGGCTAGTTTCCGATCCTCGGGCGCGCACCGCGAGAGCCAACACGCGTTTGTACAGCCGAATGGGTCATACAGAAAGTAAGTGAACGGCGCGGAGTGCCGTCCGAGGGGGAGCCTCCACGTTAACCCCACTGCGGGTGAGTTTGCGACTTTGAGAGGGAATTTCATGCTGGAGGGCGCACACCATTGTCAGGCATCTCAAGGTAGCGCACATGGTAAGATATCTCGGGGTAGCGCACATGGTAAGATATCTCAGCGTAGCACACGTGCTAAGATATCTCAGGGAAGCGCACCTAGAAAGAAGATGTCTGGTGAACACCAGCATACAACGCCAGAGCCAGAGTTCCATTCTCAACTACTTGGATCCACAGCAATGACATCTGATATTCAACATCAGACAATCAACATCACAAAATCAACGTCAGACAATCCTGTCGACCCATGTGTCCCTATACAGAGAGCCGATTAACGACTCCATTGGCTTAGGGAGTTCGACTCTGCCTTCTCCGTCCTCCGTCCTCGAACTCATACTACTCGACTCAACTTTCCGTCCTCGACTACAGCTAACGGAGGGCCGCAGATAATCTTCGCGATTCCGAAGGGAATAGCCAAAGAAGGGAGAAGGGCGCACAAAACAGCGACGGTGGCAATGTCCGGTGTACCCTTGACACGCCCTTGACACGCCATTGACTCGGGCCGGCACTCTTAACATGCCTCAAGATGACACGGAAAGATCTGTTTTTGAAGACTCCTTTCTACATCCGTGCACGTGACATAAAAGTACAAAGGTGACAAAAAATGACGCAAAATTGGCTATTTACGATACCATGCTTTCTGCGCAAGTTAGTGATGTCGCCAAAGAGTGGGGCCATGGGAGACAAGAGTGGGAGACAAGAGGGCTATGATCTCCCCGAGACAAGTGGCTGACATTAAATCCGGGTGATCTCGCAGGAATTTGGTCCAAACTGGTAGAAGTTTGATGAAACATTGAAATTTGCCCTCTTTTGCTCACCGTTGACGAAACTTATAGGTACGTGGCTGGCGCTAGTTATACAACATTTGCGATACGGCCAGGCTACGTAAACTGTTGAGTAAATTTGCAAGGAACCTTGCGCACATACATAAGACAACGGTCACGGCCTTATTCCCGGTATGAAAGCCAGGAGAATGGGGACGTAGATGCGTTGGTATTTCGGCAATATGCCTGTGTCAAAAGGAATGGCAGAAGTATATCCAAAATTGTCTTTCGATGATCCTACTCGATTTTTCGTTTGCTTTTTTCGAAACAGCGGGCCACAGCTTTTCCGGGTCGCCAGCCTTCAGGGCATTAAACAAGGAGCAACTGCTAGCCATTACTACGATACAGTGCATATCTGACTAAGAATTACAAGACGCGAAGAATGTGTGCTAATGCAAACAAATTCTAGCAGACGGGCATCACGCAGCACGCAAGCAGGTCAGAGCAAGCAAACATTACACATCACGCATCAATTACACATGCAGACTATTTCAATTAACCAGCCATCGCGCATCACGCTATGATGCGTCACACCTAAAGGCACAGGTCACGTTCGCACAGTCGGCCATTATGAGCCCTGTACGTTGAGGTTTGGTCGCCAACTTTCTATGCGAATAGGGAGGCATGCGCCCTATGTCCATTTTCGAGTTCAAAGTCATCTTCAGGGCACAAGACCACCCAGACAGGAAAATAAGTGCATCTTTTCTTGTAAAAAGTCGGCGATCAGATCTCAACGTACAGGACTCACCATGGTCGATTATGCGAACGTGATAAGTGCCTAGATGGGTGATGTGTGCTGGTATAAAATCGTTGACATGCATAACTGATGCATGACGCCTGATGCAAGATGCCTATTTAAGTGAAATCGTTTGCATGCAAAATTGATACTTGATGTGTAATGCCTGTTAGCTTGAACTCGCTTGCATGTTTGAATGAAGAGGGATGCGTGATGCTTGTTAGCGTGAATTTGTTAACATGTGCGCGCATTTTCGCGTGTTCCAATTCTTAGTTGAATATGCACTGTACCGTAGCCATGGCTCGCAACTGTCTTTTGTAAAATCCCCAGAATGCTGGTGGCATGTAAAAGCTGTGGCTCAATACTTTAAAAAAACATGTAACAATCGGATAGGGTCATCAGCAAGCAATTTTGAATTTACTTCTGCTATTACTTTCGATAAAGGCATGTAGCCGAAATCTCAGCGCATCTGTATCTCCACCCTCCTGGTTTTTCTACGAGGAATGGGGCTATTACTGCCGTCTTACCTAGTGAGGTCCGCTGACACATTGGACCGCTGTGTTCGCTGGCCAATACCACGTGTCGCGACCTTGCTGGCAAGAGCAGGCTTGTTGTCGGACACGCTCAAGCTTATTCACCAACTCCCAACAAATAATTATTTAACGTATCACGCAATCAAACTTTGTAGCAACAAATATTATAGAAGTTTTCACCTGTTATTTCCGTGTTTATAAATTGCGGATATTCGTGGCCATCCTGTGCATTGCTTGTTAG